ACCCCGTCGATTCCTTCATATGAAGGTAGATGAAACTAAGTAAACGACCTCGTCTTCTCATCAAGTACGGAACTGGGTGTTCATTTTTTTTCTGGTTGGTTACTCATAGCGCCAAAACAGCACATTATTTTATTACTAGTTCGGTCAGTATCCGAGTACATACGGACTTACAACGCTAAAATCCGAGGTTAGATTCCACGCAGTGGATACAGCAGATAGCCCAATTTGGCTTTGCTCTCAAAGAAACAAACAATTGTTATTTTTTTCCCTTACTTAACAAAAGTTCTCAAACTCACGACTGTAACTAGCATCGAGAAGAAAGTAGCTGCTTTTATGACCTGAGTTTAGCTAACGTTTCGAGCTTAACTTTTATTACAGAAGGTTTTGCACGTTCTCGTTAATAACGTGATTTACATGTATATCAGTAGTTCTGTCTAACAAGCTCATATGAAAATAGTATTCTGTAAGAAAAGCCTACTTAATATACAGATGTGTATAAGAAACAAGACTATCGTTCATAGAAATTTCATTTTCAAATTAGTGTACAATGTACTAAGTTACAGGTCACATGATCAGTGGTAATGGTACCATCATATCAAATACCGGAACGAAATAATATTATTTTACATTAAACCGACACAATGAGACGTTGCCTATTTTACATAACCCTTAACAACAAATAGTTATTAGATGTAGCATTGTAAAATAGAATCTTATAAGATGCAGAAAAAAATATTCTTTCAACGAAACTCTTAGATAAATGAATAATTAATTTATTTAATTGATAGTTGGCTTTTTTAGTTTTGTAACCCTCGTGATTCAAAATTACTCATTGTTTCAATTATGTACACTTATACCTCGAAAATCAATACATCTTTTCTGTATCACAACTTTTTTTTAGCAGTTCTCATAAAAACGTTGTTTAAGATATTTTAATAAGAATTTCATGTTGAGACTGGTAACGCATTCACAGCAGCAAGTTCAGTGTCTTTATGAGTAGGGAGTGGCTTTTCACCGTAATACGTTGCACCATATATCTTTTGACGACCTTACGTCAGTCACTGTAAAAACGGAAACTCCAGAAAATGACTATGAAACATTGAATTAATTGAAGAATAATTTAGCATTGCACGTTTCCACAAAATAATAATGCGTATAAAGAAACCTTCTACATTGAACATTTTTCCCGAAAAAAAAAGCTTGATAAATTGTACTCATTTCTGCTTTATAGTATCTGTATTTACTCAGTATAGAATAAAATGTCAAGTAGCAAAAAGATAATCGTTATCGCGCTTAATTTCCCCGAAAGATGGCCGAAGGCTGCCAGGAGGGGGTCACCTGTTTTAACCATTTGTACCAGAATACAGTGGTGTGTTGTCTGTCTGTCTGTCAGTAGACGCTAAAATGACGTTACATAACGTTGCAATTTGTACTATCATGACGTCAGTAAGACGTGCGCATGCCATGAATCACAAGATGAATTATGTACTCTGTAGGCTAAAACATAGAATTACATATGAGCTTCAAAAGCAAGAAATAAAAATATTTCTTACTCTTAATTTTGGTTTTATTTACTTTTGAAACAGAACATTTTCGGAGAACCTGCGAAAGTACATCTAGTATATGTACATTCTCTTCAAGCTAGAAGAGTTAACGAAACGGCCAAAGGTGGGCTTCTTAACTTATAAATGCGATTATTTCTTACTAATAGTACGACTACTTAGACCAATTAAATGTTAAAAATATTAGACGAACAGTTAAGTAAGAAAAAAAAAGGCAAAGGTATTCAAATATCGTAGAAAAGCGATCAGTGATAAATGTTGAAAGTTTACACAAACACACAAATAAAAAATTAAGAATGAGTTAAACGGCAATAATAAAATACATAGTAAAGAACTTCTAAAAACTAAACATTTAGTTAAACTTACGAGAGACCGTGACACTCACTCCACTATTTATGTCACAAACTACTTTATGTGACGAGTAATTAACAACATTCCCAATTAGTAAAATAATTTACCAACCTTATACTGAGTAATACATAATCAAATTGTTTTAATATCAAGATAACTTAGTTCAAAACTATGTAAATTGGAAGCGCTTTGTAAGGGAGAAACAAGGAACTTACCACATATTAATTTTCAGGGTTCAATTTAATAAATTCAGTATGTGTTTTAGTTATTTATAGTATTATTCTTAAGTAATAGTAATAATTACATTGACCAAGTATTGTACGCATGGCATATGAAGCTTCACATGTGATAATTCTGCTTGGGTGCTCAGCAATTCGCTAAATAGGCCTAACCTCGTCAGGTGTTCTTGGGTTAACGGCCGAAAACACCGTTAGCAGCGAGGGTATCCTGCTAATGATCTAAGGCAGAGTGATCATAAAAGCTTTTTCATAGTTTGTATAGTACTTTTTTATATTGTTTTATATTGACTGTTAATTTAGTCTTTTAGCATCTCCTCTGGTAGAAATCATTAAATAATCTAAATCTTAAATTTTCTGTTTGATCAATGTCAAAATTACTGTAAATTGTAGAACATAATTCGCTTGTTGCATCGCAACTAGCGGTAGAAATGATACAAAAATAAAATAAGTAATATCTGTTTCTAAGACATATTTCATTCTGATTTTTTGGGTACTCAATATGATTGCTACATATTCAATACTCAATAGGATTGCTACACATTCAGTACTCAATAGGATTGCTACATATTCAATACTCAATAGGATTGCTACAAATTCAATACTCAGTGGGATTGCTACATATTCAATACTCAATAGGATTGCTACAAATTCAATACTCAGTGGGATTGCTACATATTCAATACTCAATAGGATTGCTACAAATTCAATACTCAGTGGGACTGCTACACATTCAATACTCAATGGGATTGCTACATATTCAATACTCAGTGGGATTGCTACACATTCAATACTCAGTGGGATTGCTACATATTCAATACTCAGTGGGACTGCTACACATTCAATACTCTGTGGGATTGCTACACATTCAATGTTTAAATTTTTTAATGGATAGGAAAATGCCTATGTTTATACTATAGTGCGCACAGAATGTTTAGATATACAAATGAGGCTGCTCGACAGACATATATAATATAGGGTTTTTTAAAGTAATTTATTTTTACATTAAAATAATGACTATTTCAAATTAGCTAACCGGAGTAAACATACCAATTAAAGCGTCGAAAAGAAAAATGTATGCCATGGCATTATTGATCTGTTATTATAGGATATTTTATTTACGTTTGTGTGGCTTATAGGACGCAAGTTAGCTTTAGGTGTTGACCTCGTTCGCTGAAAAAATTCAACAGTTACTAATAAATACAGTAGTGACTACTTGTTTCAATAAAAGCGACGAATGTCGAAATATTAATGCGTCTATCTAATTTACGCATAGGTATATAACATTCTTAGACACATATAAACACAACCCCACCTTTTT